CTATATTTCGTGAATTAAATTTCTCAGTGAACGGCCGCGTGTTCTCCGACTAATCAGTGAACCGTTATTGTGACACGTAGTGGTGCAGCAACGCGCTTTTATCGCGTCACGACGGAAGAAAGTTCAATGGACTGCGAGCTTTTCGACGGTACGGTCAGTAAATCATTATGAAATTATCTTCGTGCATAAAGTTGAGTCCATTTGGGCGTTTAAGTGGTCATCGCGGCGGATCGCGACCCACGACGGACGGACGGACGAATCGTAACTTTATCGTTCCAGACAAATGACTCCACTTGCCTCTGATAACCCATCCGTTCGCCTTTCTGCGACAGACAAAACACGAGCGAGAGAGAACGACAAAGGGCATTTTTCTTCGTTGAAGAATGCGTCCCAATTTGATAACGGTGCGCGAAAAAGTTGGCGAGAACCTATAGACGTTAAGGCAATCTCAATTTGTCACGCAAGTATCTGTGTAAATTGTAACTATGAGAGAGACACAAAATGTCTCGTTGATTATAGTACAACTTCCACTGCGCCAATATCACGGAAAGAAAGAATTAGCTGCGGCAGCGAGAATCTGTGATAGTTAAATCTCCTTGTATAAAATATGGATGTCTAAAAGTACAGCTGCCAATAGGCACATATATACAAATATACATTTAGCTGATTTAATGGAAATAGTAGCCAGACTTTACAACAGCAAATTTCTAGTTACAGCAACAAATGTACTTTCAGCAAATCGTGATTAGCTGCGACAGAGAAATCCTTTTTTTCCGTGTACAAATCAACAAAAGCACAGAGACCTTTATTCCAGTCTAAAGTCTAAAAAAGCAAGCTATCAAATGACAAGGTGAACGCTGCGTTTGCGGTCACGAGACACTGACGACGCGATCGAAGGACAATTTAGAGCGAGTTTTAATTGCTTCGCTAAAACCGCGACGCGTAATTACTCGCGGCCGATCGCGCCACATCGGCCGAACTTTTTGCGTTGTTACTTGTCAGTGGCAGTCGGACACGCCACTAGCGTTTCTCGCAGTATTCCGGGAGGAGTATTCCGGTGGATAAGCGCATTGTTAAAAGCGAAGCCGGCCTACTAGAAAGTCATAGTTCGATAATTAAAACGGCGTTTCTCGATTGCTTGTCCGGTTGAGAAACGTTCGCGGAACGTGACTTTAACTTATTGCTTTTTCATTCAGTGTATTAACGTTTCCAAGCCCGCGCGATTTACTTCTTCTCTTACACCAGACTCGATTCTATTCCATATTCTTTTCTCTACATGGGAAGAATTTTATAGTAAAAATAATTGCAGAGTTTTCTAGCCGGGAGTTAGATCGATATTCTGCAGTAATTTATTATTGTTTCACTTTGTATTGCATTATTTATATTCTAGAAACTGAAATATGCTATTAAAAAATTTGCTATATTTCCAGAGAAATGTACTATGCTCTTCAACAAGATAGACAATGTATTCTCGCATTAAGAACATAGTAAAATTAAAAAGAACTTTCTTTTTAATGCATTAGAATATTACTCATTAATATACGAGACAGATACATCCTGCAAAAGAAATCCATTTAACATAATAAATATATCCTATATATGGCAATATTTGTCGTTATGAAAAAAATTAAAAAAGCTGTGATGAAAAACAAACAAGACACAAAATAAATAAGCCTTCAAGAGCCAAGCACAAATCATGCAGTGCTATAAAATGTTATAACCCATTTATTTATATATCTTGAATATTTATCGTATTTTATACACTCAGTGTGCGCGAAGTAAATGAAAATGCGGTTGTGCAGGTGCAAAATTTTTCTGAGCGTAGCACGAGAAGGGCGAGAACCCGCGCGACGACTTCGCGTCTCGGGACCGGAATTCGCGTATGGTAATCGACATCTGTGTCCACCCACGACGCGCATAATCCGCAGCAAACGGACTCGTAAGCAACGGCGCGTATCGCACGTTGCATCTCACGTGTGTACAGCCACTATGCGCTCGCGCTCGGGTGCACGCATTGCACGCGTATGAGCCGCGGCGGTGTCGGCCCTTTTGAGCCCTGTGCGTGCGTAACTCACGCGTTCTCTCTCCCGCGCGCACGCTGCTACGCGTTCTCGTTGCACGACGCTTCGGCAGACCCCGATAACGATAATTAATGTTGCCTCGCGTTGATTATCCCGCACGCGATATACGTCCGCCCCCTCTTTCATCATTTGCCCTCCGCTCTCCCTTTCCTCTCCTTTCTTTTTCTCTTTCTCGCCTAACTCGCGCTTTCCCGATGCTTTGCAACGTTTCGCCTCCTTTCTTCGGCCACACGCATAACCACACGCTCCATCCGGATATTCGATATTCTTATTTAACCCTTTGGAACGCAGTGTTTTCACTCGTGAGATTATCTGTTAGAATTAAATCATTGTTTTAGGCATAGTGATCTCGCAACGAAACCACCGCTCCACCTATGCGATGGAAACATTTTGTTGCACAGTCAAACCACCCTTATTCTGTAAAAGTAAGAAAGTAGGAATAGAATAGAGAATAGAATGAATACTTTATTAGAATTCGAATTTTTAAGGTCCTGCACTGAGGGGAAAATTATTTAAAAATCAACAAATATTTCTTTGAATATATGAAATATTGTTTACTTAAATCAGATCAACAATATTTGACTTAAATAAAGAGAATTTAAATTTAAGTAAATATGTTAATGCACCCATCAAAAAAATATTTGTTGATTTTAAGATAATTTTTCCCTCAATGTGTGCTTCAAAGGATTAACTCTCCACTCCATGGTGAGGGCAGATTATTAATAATCGATTATCTACGTCTATGAGCACAACCAACAAATACATTTTCAGTAAATTACAATTAGCAACGGCAGTAAAATCTTTTCTTTTTCGCGTACGATGCGTTAATTTAACAGACGGTCGATAAATAGAACTAGTTTAAAAAAGAACTTATAAAATTTTTAAACCGACAAGTCGAACAGGATCATCGAAGAGATGTGCGATATTGACGAATAGACGAGCTGCGAGCAGGATAATTACGCGATAAGTGTTCCCAGATGAGCCGCTGGGAAATCCGAATCGAAGCCACGATACGTTGTTGTTTCTCGGTTTTGTCGCCGTTGCAATCGTCGCGCGTCGATGCGAAATTAATCATGCGAGCCGAATTCGAGGAATCCATTAAGGCCGAGTTCGCCGACCCGATGTCACCATATTGGCCGATATCGTCATTAAGAATTTTAATACGAGGACAAGGCGCTTCGCGGCGGCGATTGCAACAGCCGTCCCCTCTAAAACGGGGATAAATCAGTGGCGCCCACCCACTGCTCTTCGGAGGCAAATGGAAGCGCGAACAACAGCAACAACAACAACAACTCGCGGGTTATCTTCTGCCTCGCGACGCCACACGCCGTCAGTGGCTCGGGAAGAATAATTAGTTTATAAACATGCAGCGCGTCCGAAATCTCAAGATGATATTTCGCGTCTTCTCGAAGATTATACGGTAATAGGTGCCTCACGTTAATCCCCGTGTCTTCGTGTTTACGACCGATTATACAGATCGTTCGCCGACGCGCATGAGTGACCACGTCGTTAATAAAGGTGCAATCGGAGGACGGATAATGTGGGAGAGCAGATCTCGAGGAGAGGCTAGTGAACGATAAAGGGAGAGAACGCGATAGAAATCACGGTGCTGCTTCGCGTTTTCCAAGCAGCGTCGCGCGCGACTCACGGCTCGCTCGAGTTTACATAGTTCGGGACCTGATAATACAGCCGTGGTCAACGCGAAATGATTAATCGCTCGCTCGCTCACGCTAATTGTTATCTACGATCGGCGATCGCGCGAACGAGCCCCGGCGAGTCAAGTCCGCGCGGAACTTCGCGCTTTGTCGATCCCATCTCGCGTGGACGTTACGTCGGCTGCCGGCTAATCGTTGCCCTAATTGTATTTACACACCTTGCCGCGAAGTAATTCTCGGAAAGTGCGGTGTCCAATTCACTAAATCGACGCGCGATTATATTATCTTGCTGCTCGCAACGAGGATCAATCAGGAAACGGCATTCCTCCCATTCAACTTCACCGAGACGCAATTACACACATATGTTTTATCGGAAGGACTATAGCGTTGAAATGTAGCGATTGTAATACCGTAATCGTAATTTTGAAAATATATAGAGAACGCCAATGTTTCAACAAGACGTAATCTATGTGTTTTACCAACAAAGCAAATACATTAACAAAGCAAATACATTACCATTCATTTCCATTCTTTCGGCGGGAATTAGGATGGATTATTCCATCTCTTTACTTTGTCCTTTCTAATTTTGACTATGTTATCGCACATGTTGTTTTCACTATGCAAATAAATTTTAAGAAAAAAGAGAATATAAAGTGTTTCGGTGGACGTTACTATCGTGAAGGAGGACGAAAATGTGTGTGTGTGTATGTGTGAGAAATTATCATCCAAATATAGTGGTGAAAAACAAAGTAACGAAAATTCGTTACATGCAGTTTTCTAAGGAGCTTACTGAATTAAACGCAAGCGCGTGAACATTTCGAAGCAGTTCAATGGCAGTTTGGAAAATTTCAGAGCGCGGAATGCGCGCGTCCAACAAAATTCGATTGTCTCGCGCGTTTCGCAATATCTTTAGTTCTCTCTTTCTCTTACTTCGTTCAATTCTTCCACTTTACTTTTATTTCAATCTTACTCATGCCGAGACACTTCGCACGCGACGGGCGGTCGTCGTAGGATCGCCAGTCGTCCGTTTCCATTTGTTTTATCGCTTCAGCGATTCACCGCGCGCGCTTTGATTCTCGGCCGCGTCATACCTCGAGATATTGGTGATTTTTTTGGAGAGTCTCGAGACTAATTTCACAGATAAACGTGACAAAGGCTGGAAAAACGTTTCTCCGGGGACAACGTGCTCGTTATCGGGTCGTTCGTTATCTGCGACGTGTCTAGACAAGAGACAGAGAGAAAGAGAGCAAAAGGAAGAGATTCCCGAGCAAGAGCGACCGCGCGGCCGCTGGTCATGGTCGATTTACGGGCAGTGCCAACTTTTAGTGGACCATCGCGTAAGTGGACCTTCCAGCGACCTAATCGTAAGTGCCTCTTCATTGCTGGTGCGCGCACCCGTCCGGCAGATAGCACTCGATGAAAGAAAAAGGACCAAGAGTGTGCGTGCTCTTAACCGATCAGAACTGCACGACAACTAATGGCCTCGCCGAGACACGTGACTCACTCTCGCCGTTTCGTGCAAACACCTAACGATTAACATTCCGGCTTTCGGAGATGTTTGCTTCAATGAAGCACGCGTTACGTCGACGGATAAGAGTGGAAAAACGCGCAACGGTCGATATTGGTTTCGCTGGGCTGCCGTGAGTGGTGATACACTCTTTAAATTTCTGGCGGTGGAATCTCACTGAAAACGAGTGAAAAATGATGGTATTTATACTTGAAACAATAATGAAAATATTTCTAAGAGTAAGTGTTTCACTCAAGCTTAAAGTAAATTCTGACTGAATATTTCAGTCAATTAGGGTGAGTGACTAGAAACTTATCCCATGGTTTAGAATAAGTGCATCCTAATCAGTTATCTAGTTTCTACAAAGTGATGTTATCTGGTCCTGATAAGTTGTGTAGCACAGCGTGGCAATCAGAACCTTATTAATATAATAAGATTTACTAATAATTAAGATTTTATTAATACTGAGATAATTACACTGAGAAAAAAATATTTGAAAATTTATTTGTGGGACATAAAATTTATTTCTGTGAAAAGTAAAGTTCATTTCTCTATGAGTAAACTTTGTATTCTACAAATAAATGTTCAAGTATTCTTTTTTTCAGTATTTTCACTCGATTCAGAGTGGAAAATTCAGTTTGTATGAGTGAACAATCAATCAAATTCGCGTGACTAGGTCATTCCGCTTCTCGAGTGAAATTTCACTGCGAGAAATTTAGAGAGCACTTTATCGTTGTCTGTGACACGGTTATCAGTTTTTGCTAATTTTACTATATTTTGTCGAACCTTTGTATATATATAGCCTGGTGACCTCAGTATCGAACAAAAATGTCATTAGTTAAGAAAGAAATGAAGGAAAAGAGAGAAAGAGAGGAAGTCGCAATGCTAATGCGACAGATAGACTTCCAAATGCAACAAAGTAAGAGCAATAATTTACGCGCCACTAGTGGCACATCGGTCGATATCGGGAATAATATACGCGTTGTAAATATGGCCTTAATACGTCTTATTTAAATCTCATGTGGTCGGTTATATTTCACGTCGAGGATAAGGTCCCTTATCTCGACGCTAAGTCGTCTATGCAAAGTACAATACTTTGTAAAGTGAAAAAATTAGATAAGAACGCGTAACAAGTCATTGTTTCATGAATATGATTTAACAGTCGTATTAAATTGCGAGAAGCGGAATATGCATAAGATTAGAAAATTAACCGCGGCCGATACATCGACGTATGAAAAAAAGCGAAATTAGTATATATATCATTAATAGAATCGAGATGACGGCCGATTCTTATTTCATTTTACGGTTATTTCTAACTTTGGACGATGTGACAAGTTCCTCTCACACGAGCGACACAATACATAGACGACAGCGTCGTAAAAACTTGGAAGCAATTGTATTTTCAGTAAGTCACCTTAAGCAATGGCCCGTGTCAGATACATTTCGCCGAAACGTTGAATATACAATTTGCTTTTCATTTTTTTCTCGGCCACGCAGTACCACGTAATATCATCGTGACGTACGAATACATAAATACGTGATCATTCAAAGTGGCTTATTTTCGACGAAAAAAAAATTTGTTTTTCTGCCTTTTAAACATACTTGATTTAGATAAAGCAAGCCGTGCCCGATAGCGAACGATTCTTCTAAACTATGCCGCTGCTTTTGAATCGCTGTTTACAGGAACAACTCATAAATATAATTGCAGTGTCTCGCGCTGTATGTATATTAGAGCGTTTTACCGAACTCTGAATAACCATGACGACTAATGTAAACGGGAACGCCGAGTGATAAAGTTTAAACGAACTTCTCGACCCAATTTCGACATCAGAATTACTTTAGCGCGACTTTAGAAAGACCCATAAACTTCTACTTCATTATACATTGGAAGAAGGAAGTATATAAAAAGTAAGAAATATTTATTTGATAGGTACGCTATCAAATAAATATATAATCTACTTATACATATAAAATATATGAAATATTTATTTATATATAATATATATACATAAAATATTTCTCATGTAAAAAAATATACATCTTCTTGAAACTTTAGTTTTTTGTGAAAGTAATTGTTTACTCTATTTAAGCGAAATAATTTAGATTTAAGTAAATATGCTATTAGCACACCCACCGCAACTAAATATTTCTAATTTTTTAGATACTTCTTTCTTCTAGAGCAGGATTCAAGGAACATAGTATTGCAACAAAGCAACCGTCGCGTTCATTAAACTAACTTCCAGGAAGCCTTTTGTTTCTCGGAGTAAACGAGCGATATGATTTATATCACTGTTTAACCCAACGAGTCCGTTTGAAAGGATCACGCACACGCACGCACACAAGCGGCCCGAATGTCTCTGACGTATTATCAGGGACAAGAGCTGTTATCAGAGACGAGAGTAGCGGGTCGACTTCGTGGTGGGCCTCCCTATCTTAACCGAATTTACGGAAAACACTCCAGCCGAAGGCCACCGTCGCCACGGTGAATCCTCGTCCTGCCACCGGACGAGCGATCGGCATTCCTGACATCCTCTCCCTCTCTTTCTTTCCCTCCCTCCCTCCCTCTCTTCCTTTCTCTCTCCCTTTCTCCCTCTCTTTCTCTCTCGAAGAGGACTCGCGCCCTTAGGATCCTAACTACGTGCACGGAGCGTGTTAAACTCGTGTTTCCTAATGGATTCTTGGAATCGTCATGCTCGTCTCTCGCGTCATTCGGGGTCCACGCGAGCGACCTGCCTGCCCTCTCTCGCTCACCCTCCCCCTCGGTACATCGGAGATGCACAATGCGAAAGAGACTGGTTATCCTTACGTAATGCGCTTTATTCCGTGGTCACGACGCGCACGTTGTTCCGTGAATTTTTTACAGGAACAGCATAAATTAAAATTTTCTACTTCCCGCACAGAAAATTCCTTTGGGGCCTAATTAGGACCTAGTCCGATTTCTCAAAATAATTATGGGTGTTGGACAGAAGTGTAATGTTTCAAACGACCCGAGTCGAAATTGTGACCCTATGTTGAACATTGAATTCTACACCGCAGTAGAAGCTAAGATAGCAAAGTAGATTTAATTCTAATGATATAATTTACTCCTACTTTGACCCTGTTGATGTTTGAAATTTCCGCTTTCACTCTCTTTAGCGTCAAAATAAGTTGTATAATAGTAGGATCTTAAGAAGTAGGTTCAGTTGTGAACCTCTATTGAAGTTTTAGCTCCTACATAGAATATATGTATTTTATGGAAATATTTAAAAAATTTAATAAATAACGAAACAGAAATGTCAAATAGCATACAAAATATACATTTTATCTGTTGCATATATTTCAGACATCATCAGGGTCAAAGTAGGAATAAATTATATCATTAGAATTAAACCTACTTTGCTATCTTAGCTTCTACTGCGGTGTAAAATTCAAGATTCAACATAGAGTCAAAATTTCGACTCGGATATGAGTGTCAATATCATCAAAATAGGTTTCACCTACGTTATAAATTATCTAAGTAGGTTCAAACTATTTTTAAGTAGTGTCAATATTTTTACAAGGTAGAGTAAAAGTTCAAAAGAGAAGTTAATGAGAATCAATATCGTCAAAGTAGGTTTTACTTAGGCTATAAACCGTCTAAGTAGATGCAAACTATCCTTAAGAGCGTCAAAATAGCATCAAAATTTCGGGGATTCTCAAAATGGGGAAATTCAAAATTTTCCCGATTATTCAGCAAAATGCTCAAAGTGTTTCAAGAATATTTTATTTTCTGATATTTTTTATTCTATCAAGTACAATAGTTAATATAAAAATGAGATTCCCTGTTTGGTACTATAAAAGGATACCGTCATTATCGAGTGAAAAAAAGCACGAGTTCCCATAGTATTTCTGTTTCGATTTCAAACAAGAATGGAATTGGTATCGTAGTGGGATAACTAATTTTTAAATCTGAACACTTCAATCGGAATTTATGCTGTACCTGGAAAAATGATGGGACATTTCTATGCGGGTTCATTCAAACCCAAAAATCGTCCCATTAATTTTCATAATTCTAGATGGCTTAATTGACCTAACAAATAATTTATTCTTCTCATCACGTTCTCGATCGACACACACGACATATCTATTCGCCGAATTTGCGCGGATCTGCGCCAAGTTACTATTTCTCTTGCAGCGACAGCTGTGCCGGGCACCGGACTAATTGCAGAGAATCTAACATTGTTGCGCGCGGCGGTAAAAATGTATTTCGGTCACCTCGGCAAGTAATGAGCCTCTTATCGGTGGGACGTCGGTGACAAATCCTCATAACTTCCTCGATATAATACCATTGTCACCCGTTGGACGAGCCGTGAACGATCGTATTATATATAACGAGGAACCATTTAAGCGATAAGGCCGCTCATTATGAGCATTGAGAAACTCATAATTCACGATGTACTAAATACATTTTTATCGTCGTCTCTGACAAATTGCAATTATAATCGTTATTATAATTGCGCGCGGCCCGCTCGCTCGGCCGATCTCGTCCGCGAATTCGTTCCCCGTCATCGTTTCAGGCGAGGCTGTCCTCTCTCTCTCTCTCTCTCTCTTTCTCTTTAGCCTCCTCGCGTCGCGCGTTGTCGTCATCGTCCTTCGTTTCTGACGCGGAACTAATGGCGGTGCCGCGCCGGTGACGAAAGTCGAAAGACGTCGACGACGATGACGACGACAGCGACAAAGAACTCTCCCCGAGGACACAGATCGCCGCACCACAGCCAAGCCTCGCGGACGAGGGCGATGGCGATCCGATAAAACGAATCGTCGCGGTGCTGTGCCTACGGCACAGCGGCGTAGTAACACCTGCGCGCATTGTGGCGCCGATTAGAGGGCAGAGCGTGGTATCACGACAGATTGAAACTCGGGACGACACGTGAGAAGATAAAGCTGTCATCGCGGCTAATTGGCTAGCGCTGTGCGAAAATGAGTCTGCCGCGGAGTTTACAAAGGGGAATGGAGCTTCCGCACAGCTGGATCGACGAGCGCGAGCGCGACGGCCCGCATTTTAAGTCCCATTCACTCAAATTTTACCCCACGGCGGAGATTAATTTGTCTTCGCGCGCGACACCGCCCAGTCACGACGTCAATTAATAATATTTATCGATTGGCCCAAGTCATAAAGAGAATCTCGTTGTGTGATTAACATATAAATTAAGAAGATCGGACCTTCAAAAGTAAAAATGTA